GTTGCGGAAACAAGGTGAGTGCCGGCGGTAGTGGGTGTGGAAGCAAGGTGAGTGCTGGCGGCAGCGGATGTGGAAGTGGTTGCGGAAACAAGGTGAGTGCTAGCGGCAGTGGATGTGGAAGTGGTTGCGGAAACAAGGTGAGTGCTAGCGGCAGTGGATGTGGAAGTGGTTGCGGAAACAAGGTGAGTGCTGGCGGCAGCGGATGTGGAAGTGATTGCGGTGCTAAATTTGCACAATCTGATACTCCATGTGCTGATGGAAACTCGATGATAATGACATCCCTCGATGTCAATGAGGCAATAGCTGCTTGATGTCCATGTTCATCATGGGAATACAATGCTTCTAAATAAAGTTCTTGTGAACTATGAAGTGACATTCTTCCCTGTATGTCATGATCTATATGGTTTGAGTCTATCTGTAACATTGTGAATAATGAATTTGGTGTGCGTAATCACCAAATCTGTAGCTTAAGAAATCATGTGTACTTCGTGAATAATGAATTTGGTGTGTAATCACCAAATCTCTAGCTTTGGAAATCACCATGTACTTGTGTGGTGAATGATGAATTTGGTGTGTGTAATCACCAAATCTCTAGCTTGAGAAATCATTATGTACTTGTATGCTCATATCTATGTTTTGTAAAATAAATTCTAAATAATGCAAGTGTTTCCTTGCAAGATTGTCTGGATTTACTTGAATGAAATTACGGTTCGTCATTTGGCTTTAACTCTTCCCTCTCTGCACCATATGAAATGGCTAGAACAACAATGTTTGATGTTTCTTTTTCTGAATTCTTGTTTATCCAATCAAAGTACATCTGTCTAGTTTGACGCTTATAAGAGAACATTATATCAAAGTACATTTGTTGCGCAGTGTCAGAACTTGGTTCTGACTTGTACATATCACTAGTTTTGCAAAGTTTTCCATCTTCAACACGATGCTTGATCCATCTTCCAAAAACAAACCCTTTTTTTTTTGCTTTTTGTTATATGACAAGCTTTATTTTATTTGCGTAATTATGGGGATACATTATTAAGGGGTTGTTTGATTGGGAGATTCGTATCTCGATTCGAATCATGGTTCATTACAGTGTTTTCTCTCATAAAAATACACGTAAATAAAAAATAATTCTAATTCATGAACCAAACGTCGTGCGACGAATAACGTGCTCTAAAATTAAGAGGAGGCATGTTTTGAACAGTCTTTTAAGAGCCTGCTTGGTTTTGGTTGTACTGCAAACATTTTGATGCTTCGTAACGGTTGTCGTTTTGCGCAAACTCTTTGGTACTGCACGTCTCTTTGTACTTTTGATTAGGACACCTCTCCTTTGGTTGTTGTATTTTGTTAAATTTTCAAACTCATAATGCCTTTCGTAGAAAAAAAGAAAAAAGAAATCCAAATTGTCTTTACTACCCTTGAATTGACATCCAAAAGAAGGGGCAAATATTTTGTTCTTTTTCTTTTTAAGAATTCTGACCCACTTCGTTGTGGAGAAAATATTTGCTTTTTAATATCTATTATGGATGACGAAAGTGACTTAAGATATTTTTTTAGGCTTGTTTAGTTCGCTGATTCGAATTTTTAATTCGAATTAAGATGTGATGTTATGTGAGAGCTTTTCACTGTAGCAAAAAAGTTAGATGTGACTGTTTATGAGAGCTTTTTACTGTAACAAAACTCGAATTCTAAACTCGAATCGGCGAAGTGAACGAGGCCTATAGTTTCGAATCTTTTGATTTAAGCTCAGATTGATCACAACTTTATCCAAAGTACCGATGTCATTAGACCAAGTAGTTTTAGGTTAAAGTGATCGAAGATCGATTGTCGCTTCCTTATTTGGTAACTGTGATTAATCTATCGTCTGGTTTTAATTTCATCATTAACACGTTTATTAAAAGAGTAGGAAATAAATTTCTAGAAAATATGAATTAAATTCCACCAAGTTAAATTCTAGAAGCCATTAATGCGTTTATTTAGGGTTCGTTTAATTCGCTGATTTGAGTTTTTAATTCGAGTTAAGATGTGATTTTATATGAGAGATTTTTATTGTAACAAAAAAGTTAAATATGATTGTTTCTAAAAGCTTTTTATTATAACAAAACTCAAATTTTAAATTCGAATCGGTGAAATGAACGGAGCCCAAATTATTAGAGAATTTAAATGATGTTATTTACTTCATTAAAGAGTTAGAAAGAACAAGAACAAAATGAGTGCATTTATGAAAATGACCCGGCGCATTTACAAAAATGACCCTATTTTTTTTCCTTATTATTTATGCAAAGCTCTTTAAAATACTTCTGAATCAGATCATTTATGCCGCTACTAATTTCTCTATTTTGGTTTGGATTCAATATTTATTTCTTGACACGAAACTAACATCAATTGTACGAACTTTTCTTTTTTATTTCAATTAAAGCGAGGGCCTAAACTTTATACCTTTCATCAAAAGAATATAACATTACGACTAAATAATGCCTGCTGTTGATAGTGAAAATTCGTCAATAAAATAATAATAAATTTTTAAACGATCTGCATGAATTAAATGATCTAAAACACAATTAAAGCGGAATTTAAATAAGAACACACAAAATTTATAGTAATTCACACTCAATTCGAGAGCTAGGTTCACTACGGGGAGGAGAGAAATTTCACTGTCTTTGGAGGAATTACACGCACTAATCTTCAGAATCAGACTTTAAGATTTTTAGACTCATAATCCCTTATTTATAGCTTAGGTCACCGCCCATAAACTTTTTTTATTTGAATTTGGGTTATTTTTCTTATCTTTTTGGATAGTTTCTCAAAAGATAGATATTACAATCAATCAGGATGGTTTTTTTTAATTTAAATTTCATATATTCGTTCAATTCGCTGATTCGAGTTTGTAATTCAAGTTGAGATGTGATTTTATGTGAGAGCTTTTTACTGTAGCAAAAAAGTTAGATGTGACTGTTTCTGAGAACTTTTTACTGTAGCAAAACTCAAATTCTAAACTCGAATCGGCGAAGTGAACGAAGCCTACAAATAGCAAATCTCCGAGCAAACCTCGCGAATCTCATCTCGTGTGTAGCCTCGACTTCGTAAACGCTTTTAGAAGTTTCTTCGCCTACAATTGTGGGTACGGTCGGCTTATCTTTTCAAAACAATCGACCTATTTTATATGTCTGATACTTCTTTCTAACAGTCGGCTCCTAAGAGAATTATTCATTGACGTGACAATTAGAGCTGAGTTGTACTTAATCATTTAATGTTCTTATTTAATATGTGTAGATCCCATGCAAAATTTAATTTTTGTTTACCCTACAACACCCGCAATCAATTAACTTTTCAAGAAGTTAATATGAGTACATGAACAATTGTGACGATATATGAAGGGGAATGCCAAACTGCCAAGCCAATAATATAAACGTTGCTTATAAAAAATTATATATATTCTCTCTCAAAAAAAACAAAAACAAAAAAACAAAAGTATAAGGCTAAAAGAAAAACGAAATAATATAGGGGTAGAATAGGAAATTCAAAAAGTTAAATGATGTGAGGAGGGTAGTTTGGTCTTTCCAACATTCTTCAAGTTTACGCGTCGTACATGTGGTACTACATAACTACCTGATCGGAAGTTGAGAAGTATTGCAAGAACAGAAGCTTCAGAACTTTCTCAGAACCGGAGTACGTTCTTTGACTTTTCTCAATGCGAATTTTCTTCCTATCCAAACAAGAATTTTGCTCCTCTTTTCTCCTGAACTTCGATTGAATACAGTTTAGCGCGGTTCTGAATTCCTATTAGTTTTCTGTTCTCGCTGTATTTACTGTGTTAGGATCGACGGAAATGGAGATGGAACCAGAGCTCGAATGGATCGAAGCGCAGAAAATCGGAATCAGTGTAGACCTAGTGGCTGTGGCCAAACGCCAGCTTAAGTTTCTCGCCGCTGTTGATCGGAATCGCTGTCTGTATGAAGGACCTGTGCTCGACAGAGCCATCTATAGGTAATCAATAATCATTCTTTGGAATCAGAATCAGATTATGATTAGTTTTTCCTCTTTGTTTTTATTATGGAGTTTTAGTGTTCGATTGAATGATTCATTGAACAATATTCAATCTCATTTGTTCGAAGTAAAGGAAGAATGGCTTGGTTAAGTTCATCACTTGGTTGAAGATTGCTATTATGTATGAGGAAAAGAAGTCTCGGTTTTTCGTTAATGAAAGTAAATGCTTAGTAGTAATTTATAAGAATTAGACAGGATTGAAGTAAAATAAAAGGAAAGACAAATAAATAAGCACAAGATTTATAGTATATAACTTTCTACCGCAATAAAATTTCAGGATGACAATGAAAACGAAGATTATAACGGAAATCATACGCCTTACGCTCTCAGACTCTTTGTTTTTATCGATAATAAATTGATTTCATGACTTATGATAGCTTTGAATTGTGTTCTATATTGAGGGAATTATTATATGGAAGATCTTTTTTGCCGATGAATTTTTCTTATATTTGAAAAGGGTTGATTTTGTCTATGTTTCATGTTCTGGGTTATTAGAATGCTAAATGTTTATGTAGGTACAATGCTTGTTGGCTTCCCTTGCTCTCCAAACACACCGAGACGCCAGTTTGTGAAGGACCTTTGGTTGTTCCTCTTGATTGTGAATGGATTTGGCACTGTCACAGGCTCAATCCTGTAGGTTTCTGGGTTTTCGATTTGAATTGTCTTCATCGAATGGAATTGAAGTTGCTAATGTTTCTGCTTTGGTTTTGTTTGCCAGGTCCGGTACAAGTCTGACTGTGAGGAACTTTATGGAAAGATCCTTGACAACAGTAATGTTGTGTCCTCTCTCGAGAACACTTGTAAGAAGGAAACCGAAGAAATTTGGAAAAGTCTTTATCCTGAAGAGCCCTATACCTTAGACTTCAACAGGGCGTTATCGGAGGATATATCTGAAAAAACTTGTGTACTTGAAAAATGCACCAAATATGACTTGGTTTCAGCTGTTAAAAGACAGAGCCCTTTCTTTTACCAGGTAATAAATAAAATGAGCATCACATTTCAATGTTTTGGAATATTTATGGTTGCCTATTTCATCGTGTCTTTATTGAATTAAAACTTGAAGTGAATAGTATTTCATATGCTCTTATTTTAATCATTTGATGTTTGGTGAAACTCTTTTCTGAAAATATTTTTTGGAATAATGTTTTCTTCATGTTTATAAGGACTGTGTATAAGTAACCACTCCAAGGATGACCCAAAAGTTATGAAGTGATTAACTTGTTTCGAGTGTTTTTTTTTTTTGTTTTTTTCCTTCTCTTCTTGCCAGGTATCTAGACCCCATATGAGCAATGACTACTTTCTTAAAGGAGCTTTGGCTAGGTACAAAGGGTTTCTGCATCTTATAAGAAGAAACAGGGAGAAGTCTTTGAAGCGCTTTTGTGTTCCAACTTATGATATCGACCTTATCTGGCATTCTCATCAATTGAACCCTGTATCCTACTGTAAAGACCTAAATGAAGTACTTGGAAAGATATTGGAGCATGATGACACAGACTCAGACAGAACTAAAGGAATGAAACTGGATGTCGGGTTTTCTGGCACTACTAAACAGTGGGAAGATACATTTGGTACAAGGTATTGGAGGGCAGGAGCAATGTACAGAGGCAGTACTCCAACTCCTATTACAAACACTCCTTTCTCATCTAGCATGATCAAAAAGGAGATTGCTGCATCAAATGAGCATCAAAAAATAATTGAGCTTCCAGAAGTGAAATCTGTGGAGGTAGGCATCATTATCTATTCTCTTCTGTTTTTTTTTTCCTCTTTTTGTGTGAATGATCAAATGTATGAACTCAGAATTGAGCTGAGCTTAGGCAATGGCTAAATGGTCCGCGTTTATTCATGGCCATTCACCCCAAAAGTCACCTTCATTCAAGTTATACAAGATACCAGCTGTATCACCCCTCATAGAATGTGCTTCTCAACATATGTGCATATTGAGTCAATATCATTGTTGTGTTTATAATTTTTGAAATTGCAAATTACAACTTCAGGAAAACAAACTAGTGACTGTTAATATTTCATTTAGAATTATGACCATGTTTTTTAAATTGAAACAATTGTTTTTTGTTGATAAGTATCAGCGCTATTCTTGAGTTTTGATTTCCTTGCTTTGCTGCGCATAATGCAGTGCCCAGAGTTTCTGCTTCTTTCTCTTTCTTTTCAGGAAAGAAAAGCTCTCACATGCTCCTAAGATCCCTCTTGGATGTTCTTCCTTTTTCTTTTCAGGTGGTTTTGGAGTTTGTTGAAGTTAGAAACTTACCAGAGGGGCACAAAGGAAATCTCTTTGTCTCATTTTGTAAAATACAACCTGATATACTTTTTGATGATTCTCGGAAACTGACTATTTTGTCCGAGTCCAAAGAGGAGCAGGTTGCTTCTTTTCAGTGTGAACCTACCGGGGAGCTGCTCTTTGAACTTGTATCTTATTCATCTTCAACGTTACCATTAACAAGGGCATCAAGGACATTGGGTACTACTGCATTCTCTCTTCAAGACCTTCTGGTCCCGATCCCAAACCTATATGTGGAAAAATGGTTAGACTTGGTGCCAAGTTCTGGAAATGTGAACTTGAAGCCGATTTGCCTACGAGTTGCTATCTCATGTACTATTCCAGTACCAACACAACGCATGCTTCACATGGTTCATCCTCGACAGATAAAAAGTTCTTGTTTCTTCCCCCTTCCTGGAAAGATTAAAGATGCCAAGAGTAGAATGGACGTCATTGACGAAACTGGCTCTAAACTCATCAGCCTCCAAATGAGGTATGCTTCCTTTCATATTCCATGCCAGAAAACAAGTGACCTTACCTTTAAAGATACACCATAGTCCATATTTCTTGTGCGTGCATGCATATATCCTTATCAATTTGGAACAGACATAATTCTACGTCCAATGCTGAATGGAAATTCTGTTAGCAGCTTATCAATTTGGAAAGCTTGAATGGGTTTTTGACACTTCTTATTCCACTTTATTAATCATCAATATCCTTAAATAAGAAGCTCTTCACGATTTCAACTATAAAATCACACAAGCATACTTAAGATATCATCCTATCATTATGCTTGCATAATTTTTGTTGAGAGATTCTGAAGCGTAACAAGATACTGATATCATAAATTTGGATTGCATATTTATCTATCAGTATATGTTTCATCTATAATATTTAGTTTTGAATTTAGAATTGTGTTTATCTTTTAGGATTATTTAGGATTTAGGAATTTAGGATCTATTTAAGTTTATCATATTATTTTGATTTCTCTATACATACCTTAGTAATTGTAATTTCAATAAAGAATTAATGATACAGATGAAAATAGAGATTATTAGTTTTCCTCGTCTTATGTTCTTGTTCTTCTCTTGAATCCTGTATTTTCTCTCCTTTGTATCTATTTCTATCTCTCTAGTGGTTCTATATTTTCTTTCTAGATTCTACCTCTTCTATCTTGGTCTTATGTCATATTCCCTCAAGTTTCTATAGCTTTGGAGTTTGTTCAAGTATATCTAGCCAGTATTTAATCTCTAGTTTGTTAATAAAGTATTGTTTTAAGAACGAAGACCCTTCGTATGGGTGCAGTGCTGCATTGCTAGTTTAAATTTTCAATTTATGATTATAGTTTTAAATATCTCTTGGAGACTTATGATTGTTAGATCAAGAAATCAGCAAATATGTATGCTTTCATCTGTTATGTTTATTCGTTGTGTTTTATGGTGCATCATAACTTTCCGACTTATGTCACGCTTAAGGAATTCTGAAAAGGCAAAGGCGAGGGAAAACCACGGTCTTAAGAAGGAGGTGATTGGAACAATGAAGTCTGGTGAAACCCACACTCTCGCAGAAACTCTAGGCACTGGGTGGTCCTTGATGAATTCTCACTGGTCTCTTCACCCTAGTAAGAACTCTGGTGGAGACTGGCATATTTTTGAGCTTGTGGGTAACAAAATGGTAGGCAACCATCTATATAACATTTTCCCCATTTATCATTGCTCCAAACTCTTTAACATTCTCCCCCAAAGTCGTACAAATATATATGATGGCTTCTCTGTCAATTATGACGAAAGTCACAGTTGTTAATTAACCTTCTCTTTTAGTTTCTTAAGGGTTTAATAAGAAACTCATGGTTATTTGCTAGAAACTGGCACAAACCAACGCAGAAACATGCATGCTTGATAGCACAAAATTCTGTTTAAAACAGTATGTGCAGTAAATTTAGGGATGGTGGTAATGGTGGTTGCAGAAGTACGATGTTACCTCGGCTGAAGTAATTGTGGAAGGGCCAAAAACCTCAAGACCTGTTGAGTTGTGCTTTTTTTCAAAAAAGATAAAAAAAAATAAAAAATAAACTACAAGAGCGCATTTACCTCTTTGTCTCACTCAACTGAACCATGTTTGTATTCACGAAAAATCCTGATACATCACAAGCAAATTGCATCACTTTTGCTCTTTTTTTCCTCTTCCTTTTCTTTTCGGCTTTTGGCCGTGAAACACAATCTATATATAGGATGTTAAAAAAGCACCCATTATAGTTAAGTTATTAGTTTTTGCTAATACTATAGCAACATTTTTCTTTGAACCAGGATGGTTGATCAAACTGTGTATGTCACCCATCACATAATCTTTATTCCTGGTTCAGGTCAAATTTTATCCTGGCAGAAAGCTGGACTATGAACCTAAAAGTTGTGAGAAACATAGAAACGAACAACACTTTGTTACTGCAGTCGAGTTCTCTGCTGAAGATCCTTATGGAAAAGCAGTCGCTTTGCTCAACCTAAAATCTGGATTTGTCAAGGTAGTATTTCTTTTCCTCATTTTTTTAACAAGTTGGTATCACTAAGTCTAATATGATTTCTTTTCTTTTTGGAAAAACAAATAGGTGAAGGAAGAGTGGATGCTAGTTCCTAGTCTCATATCATTTATGGTATTCTCGGATGTGGTGAAGGAGCAATATGCTGGTTTTGTTGTTAATGCCAAAAGTTTGGAGGAGATTAAGATTATAACTGCAATTAATGAGGGGACTGGCAAGGAAGCCAATGGAACGAGTATTGTCTCTTCTGAAGCAAGTAAAATTGCATCCAATACAGATGTGGCTAAAGGAAATGCGGTGATTCCAGGAAAAGGCCAGTTGTCCAGCGGAGGCTGTGGTGGAGGGTGCGGAAGCGGGTGCGGCAATGGTAGTGGAAACATGGTGGGGAGTGGTGGCTGTGGAGGAGGGTGTGGCAGCGGATGTGGAAATGGTTTTGCAAATATGGTGGATAGTGGTGGCTGCGGTGGATGTGGTGGCGGATGTGGTGGTGGATGTGGTGGCGGATGTGGAATCTCAATAAGTAGTAGTGCATGTGGTGGTTGTGGCGGTTGTGGGGGTGCTGGCGGTTGTGGGGGTTGTGGAGCTAAATTTGCACAATCTGATAATCCGTGTGCGAAGAAAACGCCAACCCTCGATGTCAACGAGGCAGTAGCTGCTTGATATCCATGTTCATCATGGGACTGCACAAAGTTCTTGTGAACTATGAAGTGACATACTTACCTGTATGCTATGATCTATATGGTTCGAGTATAGCTTCTATCTGTAATATGTTGTTAATAGGGTGAATATGGTGTGTTTTAATAATCAAGCCTCTAGCTTGAGAAATCATAAATGAACTCTTAATAATGCAAGTGTTTCCATACAAAATTGTTTGGATTACTTGAATGAAACTACGGTTGCTCATTTGGGTCGAATTCTTCCCTTTCTGCACCATATGAAATCACTATACCAATAATGCTTTTACTTCTGCATCCTTGTTCATCCAATTAATGCCAAACCAGGGTCTACTTTTCCCACCATGTGGATAAAAACAGGTCTCAAAAAAAAAAAAAAAAAAAAAAAAAACATCAATTCTTGTGTGTAT